ACAACCAATCTTGTATCGCTCAACTCTCTCTCTCTCACTCTCTCTCTCTCTCTCTCTCTCTCTCTCTCTCTCTCTCTCTCTCTCTCTCTCTCTCTCTCCGTCGTTGCCTTCTGTGCAGGTACACGGCACCTTCTTCCGCAGTGCAGCTATGGCGGACTTCCTTCTCCGATGGTGCACCTCGGCTATGGCGCCTCACTGGCGCGCGCCTCCTTCCCTATCAGCAACGACTATGGCGCGTGGGGTAACGGGAACCAGCTCCGATACCAGTGCAATCAGACTCGCTTTCACTTCCACTTCACATACATGCAAACAGATGGGGATTCACACTGGCGCAGGGCGCCCACTCAAAGCTTAGAGATATGGAGATCAAGAACACCGTTCAGATGCAAGTTCACTTCAACAGGCTATTGCGCATGGGCGCCTGAACATCCCAACCTTCGTCACTGTGTCCAACCCCACTGTTCACACACGCTCACTCTGGATCACCCTGCATACCACCACACACACACGCTTAGTCTTACTTCCTCCTACAGCGGCTATGGCCGCACTACCACTACTGACTATGGCTACGATCTCCCTTCAGCCCACTTCGTCTTCGGGCAACCTGCAGACCACCTTCGCACAATACGCTGTAGCAGCACTTCCGCATGGCTTACACAGCGAATGAATGAATGGCTGGACACTGCTTCCTGATTTATACTTCTGTTTGTGGCTGGTCTGCCCTTTTCCATCAGGCCCTTGGTGCACACAGTCCCACATGGTACTTGCTGACTGGACCAGGGAAGACTGGGACTGGGTACCGCTGACTGCATGGGATGGTACCGCCGACTCAGTGCAGTCGCACTGCTGACTCGGTGCAGTGGGCTTACCACTTGCCCACTTGCCTCTGGTCTGCTGTGGGCAATCTTCGAAAGGCCACTTCCGGACCTTCCGGAAGGCTGTGGACTTGGCCTTTCGAAACTGTAGCAGCTACGACCTCTACTATAAACTTTGACCCCTACACGACAGATCTACGGTTCAAGACCCGACGGACACACAGGTCTACGACAGACTACTACTGGCTCCTAAAACACAGGTTATGGGTTCAAACACACACAGGGTACTGTACACAGGTAGTGAGGTCTAGGGATCGAGCCCTGGGATCTACATCCGCTACTGCAAAAGGGTGAGAACCGTTTCAATTGGGATGACCAAGGAGATCTCATCAGCTTGATAATGGGACAACTTCAGAGAGGCCAGGAGGCAAGATGAAAACATAGGAGAGAAGGACTGAACATACAGCGACCCTCAAAGACGAGCCAATAGCATCTCAGAGGGTTTCAAGTTGCAACGTTTCATCTGAGTTTGACTCAACGTGACAGGAGTCCCAAAACAGATGCGCTACCAGACTTCAGAAATTGGGAATCCATCATAAGCACTATACCAAACAAATACCACTAACCGCAAAGGACTCCCCTCCCAGATTACAGATAGTCGAGCAGATGTCTAGCCATGCTGAGAGACAGAATGCATACATTAATTTGACGTTTCCAACTGTAGAGAACTGAAGTCATGTGACACATTCCACAGTGAATGGCACCACATCATACAACATGTCATAACACTTGTCTCCCTCCCGAACCATTCATTGCCCCATCACCAACCAAAGAATGGCAACGGAATGATTCTCCTGGTGTACACTTCAACCACTGTCAGATTCAATGGCAATCATCTGTGTGACCACGCTGATGGCCTATCCTGCCAATAGCATTCATGTGTACTGCGAACAATCACCAGAACCAAAGTGTTTCAGAAAGCTCACCGTGCTGACAACAAATTTGTATTGTTGGTCAGTAAACGTGTTTGTCTTCTTATCTTTGTACATTTTGACTCTCTCTGCCAGCGTCTCATTCCACTCACACGAGCCATTTTTGACATAAGCTTTGGATGTTCTCTGAGCGGCCCTCCCTGCATCCACTGGAATCACGGAGACAAGAAGCCTATCAAACCCCCCGTTTTGCGGCACCTGCACAGACCAGATCAGACCAAGTAAATCATCATCATCATGTTGTCATCGCCATAACTACCACCGAATCAATCATATTCATTAGATTGTTTACCACCATCACTATGGTCATTGTCATCAACTTGAACATGACCACATCATCATCATCATCATCATCATCATCATCATCATCATCATCACAAGCCGCAACAGAGACTACAAGCAGCAGAAGCAGCAGCGATGTGACTAGTATGACCATTCACAACCATCATTGGCATTTCTTTGTTTGTCACCGTTGTCGATGTCATCTGATGCACTCCAAGAAAATATATGGTGTTTAAAACAGAAGGTGGGCTTCCGGCACGAACTGGTACAACCCCCATGGGTTCAGATTACAAACCTCACATAGCAAGCTTAACCTGATGTGAACCTGGCTTGTTCACAGATAAAGTCGACTGCAGATAAATACTACCGTCTTCACCTGAAAATAACGCCCGGGCGTTGTGTACGAATATAACGTCCGCCGGGCGTTATATTCATTTATAACGCCCAGGCGTTATATTCAATAAATTTGTGGTAACTTAGGTGAGGCCCCAAAATTCCAACAAAAAAAAATAAATAAAAAAATTCTAAAAAAAAAAACAAAGTTGTCCAGGATTGGAATGCGACCAACTTTTGGCTGAGGGTCACTTCAGAATTCCTTATAAACTCGGAAATAAAAAATAAAAGCGAAAACTAAAGCCAACATACACCCCTTGGAAGTCAAAACCCATTCAACCCTCTTCAAAACCCATGTATACCCCCTTCCCCGCCCTTTTAAACCCATGTATACTACCTCTTTAAGGCACTCTGCCCATGGAACATTCAAATATAACGCCCGGGCATTCTATTTGAATATAACGCCTGGGCGTTCTATTTGAAAAAAAGTGAGTAAAAACGAAAATCTCATCTTTTTAGGGTAAGTTGAATATAACGCCCGGGCGTTATTTTCGGGTGAAGGCGGTAGATGGTATCATGGGAGGTATTACGGTATCATATTTCAGCCTATGACATTTACCCATGTTCCGGATCTGCATCTGGGATTGCTTTAGACATTCTCTGCACAGCTACTCCACCTCCACAGCATGGCAATAGTGATGTTCAATCGCCATGCAGTTGCACCCCTACTTGAGAGCTGCTATTTATAATATACTCAAGGCAATATCTGATTGAACATTTAATAGGGTAATGGATTTTAACGTTGTTTATGATCTGAGTTCCTGTAGTGCCACTCCGCTGTCCTCCCACTCCGTTCTCTTCAGTGACAGCACTCGTGCTGTTCAGTGGACTCCATTTCCTGTTGGGACTGACTATCTGCACATTCACCATACTCCTCCCCAGAATCTTTAATAACGTTGCTTGCACTCCTGCTGACAACATACTCTTCGTACGGTAGTCGAAGCTGTCATATTTCAATTTTTTTCTCTTTTATCATATCAGGGCCTTATCATAATGGCTCCTTTCTACTATGGCAAGCATCAATCCAGCTCCTCCTCCACCGACAAGTCATAGAGTAATACATGAACAGACTCCAACGCTTCCCTCTGTTAAGGCCGAAGTAACCCCTGGTCGACATTGATTGCTCCTTGTGAGGAGGGATTGATTGTCACGTAAGCCATTTCCATTTTCAATTTCCTCTCCGTCCACGCCTTCAATGACTCTCAGACAGACTTCACAAGTAGGACCTTAGATGACCAAGGCGTTGTTCGAGGTCCTCCTTAGCCTCCCCAATTGTGTAGGACTATCTCCTTATCTATGTTGCTGCTTCTGTCCGGAGCTGCCTTCCTCAGGTACGGGCCAAAGTCATGTTTGTCCTAGTATGCTTAGGCTCCTCCTGGCCAGGAGAACCGGAATGAGTCCAATAGATTCCAAGAGTCCAAAGGTTCTCAGCTGGAGGTCATAAAGATATCACCAAACCTATATTATGAGAGGGGGGGTGGGAGGGGGGGGGTGGAAACTGAGAGTCTCACCCAGACTGACTTGACAGGTAGAACCTAAGATGACCAAGGCGTTGTTCGAGGTTATGAGAAACATTAGATGACTAAGGCGTTGTTCGAGGTTTTGTGTAGGACTATCTCCTTTTCAATGTTGCTGCTTCTGCCTGGAGTTGCCTTCCAGGATTGTCCCAGTGCAATAAACCTCAGTCCCCAGTGGGGCTTTGTAATTTGTTTTCTTGTTTTGAGAATTGCGGGACTTGATCCCGTGACCTGTAACCTGTATGTTTTGTTTGTTAGTTCTGACACCTATTGGGCTTGACCCCTACATCTGTCATTAGTAATCCCTGTGTGGTAGTCTTAGGCCATTCGGCCTTTTCCTTTTGCCTTGCCAGGGGTTCGAGTCCCATTTTCCCTAGTTTCTGGGTAGATACAGATGAGCCTTGGGCTGCTGTCTTGGGAGTCTGTCTAGATCTAGTCCGTGAGTAGAAGAAGCAGGTGGAAAATTAGTCTGGGGTCTTTTTCACATTTTCGTTGGCTGGGGAAACTCTGCCCGTCTGTGGTTGGAGCGCTGCTGCTCTATTTCGGGCGAGGTCATCTTCTTCTCGAAGCCCAGCCATAGCTGGTGTTGGGAAACAGAGTTAAAAATCAAACTGCTGCTATTTCCCAGCTCTGCATGAGAGCTTCCACAGGACTGTGTTGTTGGGTTTGGGTGCTGCCATTTTCCACTTGGCATCCGTATCTGCTGTTCCTCCCCACGAGGAACTTCATCTTCTTCGAAGTGCTGGATCGGTTTTCTCCTTCTTCATCAGGACTTCCAGCGCTGCACTTCCGTGTGCGGGCGCTGAGCTGGCGCTGCTATCATTGGGGTTGCTGGTTCAGATTGGCACATTGTGACAGCTGTGGGGTTACTGCTGCTATTGAAGCCATAGCCAGGTGTACGAGGCGGCGAGGAGGAAGAAGAAGACAAGAAGACATTGAACACTTGTTTTTAGTTGTTCGGGGTTGTTGTAAATGCGGTTGTGATTCTTGGAACAAGTACTCTGGATTGATCGGAGGACAAGGGATTGCAGAATTGAAATCATTCAATTCTCTGTGTATTTCGAGCTTCCGTTGTGCACATCTCTCCGGTTTTGTGTGGATTTGCCTCCTTCGAGTCACCTCGAGAATTGCACGTGTGAACGTGAAAATGTGAATTCGTTGTCGATTGAACCTCAATCGGGTACATAACAGTTGGTATCGGAGCACCGGGCTGATGCTGACGTCAGACCTGCATCGGGGGTTTCCACAGTCTTCCAATCAAATAGATCGTGGACGTAACGGCAACAGCATCCCAAACGGTCGAACACACCGTCAACACAAGGCCCTCAGGTCACCCAGTCCACTTAGGGTTGACGCAGTGGTCAACTCCACTCTCCCTGGCTAAAACTTCCAGTGAACGTTCCACCTCTCCGCTTCTTTTTTCGTTTAATTCTCCCCATTGCTGTGGAATGCTGACGGTATCCGAGCACCAGGCTGATGCTGACGTCAGACCTGCAGTGGGGATTTCTGCAGTCTTCCAATCAAATACATCGTTGATGTAACGGCAACAGCGTCCCAGAGGGTCAAACACACCGTCAACACAAGGCCCTCAGGTCACCCAGTCCACTTAGGGTTGACGCAGCGGTCAACTCCACTCTCACCGGCTACTTCCAGTGAACGTTCCACAACTTCGCTTCTTTTTTCGTTTAATTCTCCCCATTGCTGTGGAATGCTGGCGGTCGTGAGAAGGCTCTGCAGTGACCCTAATCAGAAAAGAAAGGTTTGTGTTTCTCATCCAGCTGTGGGCTCAGTTAACGTATTCGTTGACGGTTTTGGATGCTAAACCACCACTGCCTCCGATTCTGTTTTTGCCGACCCTGAATTTCACCGCACACCGAGTTTTGCCGAGCCTGAGTTCCATTTTTTTTCCTTGCAATGAACCCAGTCTGTAAGATACTCACCAGATGTTGAAATACAAAGTAACTCAACTCTGAACAATGTCTCCAATAATCATGAATGTGATGTGATCTCTGATACAATGTCTCGTTTCCAGTAGACGAAGAGAGTGGAGGGGGAATAGACAGATTAGAGGGTGGAAGAGATAGTAACCATCAATGACCACCATGAGAGTAGCCCAACATTTCCCACTCCTTCTCTGGGCATCCCCTCGCCTCCACATTAGCAAAACGGTATCCAGTAACGAGCCTGACAGGTTCTGATCACATCGACCAGAGGTGCCACTTGGCACAGTTCTCTCGTGCAGACGTTGAAGACAATCAACAGCGCCCAGTATCGACGTCAACCTCAGGTAAGCATCCCGATCCTCCTCAATTATCCACAGATCCCGATCTCCCTCCTTGTCGTGTCCAGTCACCCAATGTAGACAGCGTGGCCAATGCCACATCAGCGATGAGGAAAGGTGGCATGCGCCACATCAGCAATGAAGACAAGTGGCATGTGCCACATCAGCAGAGACTGGCGCTCAGCAGAGGTGTTATGAACCTGGTTGCTTGTTGTCAAAAGTCCAACACTCGCACACAAACTTCCAGGTATGCCCATACGAGTACCACACCGCACAGGGAGAGATAAACACTTCAGATGAGGCCAAGCGCCACTCAGAGGATGAAGACGAAGACCAACGCCACAGTGTCTGATGATGAAGAAGCACCCAGCCAGACCAGGACCCAAGTTTACCCCATTTTGGCCGCCCAGACCCACCGTGAACTGCAATGGGCCGCCTTTTTCCTTTTTAAATATGAAACATCAATATGACCTTTTTTTTTTTTCTACCTTGGCTCCCCCATATATTTTTTGTTTTCCAAGTAACTCAAACATCATTGAAAGGCATTCATCATACCCATGGATGTTTTCATATAAAAAAGAAAAAATTATAGATTTTCCAACTTCACCCATGTCGACTGTCAGGACTCTGCGTGCGTACACCAGCAAGGCACGCCCCTGTTTCTGCGACTCATGCCTGCCAGTTTGCCACCAACCCACTCAGGGGCTTGACAACTTCAAAGTTTGTCTGCCTGCTGCCCCAAGGCCGTTCCCCGCCCCAATGACATTGAACGACACTCCAAAATCTCACTTGTAGCCCCCACGGAACCGAAGTGACAGACTCCAACATGTTGCCGCCACCCTGGAACAACCTTCTGCAGGTCTTCAGAAAATGAATGCACAGAGCTTTCATTTGGTCCAGGTACATTGAGATTATTTTGT